CCAAGAATGCAGCACTCCAATTTGAAAAAGACATATGCGCCCCTATGTTTATCGCAGCACTATTTACAATAGCCAAGATATGGAAGCAACCTAAATGTCCATCAGTAGATGAATGGATAAAGAAGATGTGGTACATATACACAATGGAATATTACTCAGCCATAAGAAAAAAACAGATGCTACCATTCGCAACAACATGGATGGAGCTAGAGGGTATTATGCTCAGTGAAATAAGCCAGGCGGAGAAAGACAAGTACCAAATGATTTCACTCATATGTGGAGCATAAGAACAAAAGAAAACTGATGGAACAAAACAGCAGCAGAACCACAGAACCCAAGAATAGACTAATAGTTACCAAAGGGAAAGGGACTGGGGAGAACGTGTGGGAAGGGAGGGATAAGGGCAGGAAAAAAAGAAAGGGGGCATCACGATTAGCATGTATAGTGTGGGGGGGGGCACAGGGAGGGGTGTGCGACACAGAGAAGACAAGTAGTGATTTTATAGCATCTTACTATGTTGATGGACAGTGACTGTGAACGAGGATGTGGGGGAGACTTGGTGAAGGGGGGAGACTAGTAAACATGTCCTTCATGTAATTGTAGATTAATGATACCAAAATAAAATTAAAAAAAAAAAGAAAGTTTATTTTAGGCTTTGAGATCTAAAAGCAAGATATAGAAAAAAAGCAAGATGGTAGAGCATTTTAATTAGCTGGTTCATGGGTCTGCCTGACATTTTTTTTCATTTTTTTAATTGAAGTATAGTTGGAAAAAAAAAGGTGTACTGTTCTTATCCATGGCAGCTCAACTAAATTTACACATAACAAAGTTTAAGTAAAACTTGTGCTTTAACTTAAGTAGAATTTAAGGAAAGAAATATCATGATAATTCAGAGTAAAATAATCAGAACTAAGGGTGATCATAAGACTATTTAAAACATTGTTTGACAAATTATATGTCATAGAAGAAAAGGCTTCGGTTTTGAAAACTGGGAGCAAGTAGTAGTCACAGACTATTACTCAACCTTGAGCAAGCTACTAGTGCTTTTTAGGTCTGAGTTTCCTCAACTATGAAACAAGGACATTGGGCTAGATGCTAAGGTTCTCTTCAGTGCTAATATTATCCTGTGATCCAGGGAAGAGGCAGGGAAACAACAGGGTATGAATTAGAAGTTGTACATCTGCACAGTTCTGTCCTAACAACAGGCCATGGTGATTATGACCTTCAAGGATGAATGAATAAATGGATTAGCCCTACATTATCAGCATGTTTCCCAAGAACCTTTTGAAAAAAAGCCAAGAGTGGCCAATCTACCTAATGAATCAGCTATTTGCCACTTTTGTAAAGTTAATAAAACATCACAAATTATTAAAATTGCTGCTCCGTAATTTAAGGATTTATGATGCTGAGAGAGAGCTGAGTGAAGATGGAGGGGTCCCTGTAGAAATCCTCTTCCACCATGGACTGCCCTGGATTACAGCAGTGAAGCATCATAGGTAGCAGGAGAGGCCTTATATGTTCCAGGCAATTTAGAAGAGCAATACCAGTCAGACAACTAGATTTCCACTCCTGACTATCATATGCATAGCTAATAACACTGAATTAAAACCAGATTTATTTGACTAAGTTGAATGGTAATTATTGATAATCACTATTATCCTACATTAACTTTTCTTTAAAGGATTTGTAGACCCATGAAAGCCTGAATCCTGGGATATGGACCAAGAAGCCCATGGCAGCACTAATGCCGTGGCTGCAGCCAAGTGAGTCCCTTGGCTAAGGTGGTCTCTCAGTCAGCAGGCTCGCCCGCCCTGAGGGGAGGTCCTACCTGATGTGGGCCACGGAGGAGAATCCTGCTTCCTCAATTTGAGCCTTTAGCTCCTTCAGTTCCCCCTCAGCCTTCCTCTTCTCCTCTAGGTGCTGGTGGACCTCAGCCCTCAGGCGGAGCATTTCCTCCTGAAGAGCCCTGCTACTGTCCCCTCCTGTCAGGGTAGCAGGGGCAAGAGATAGGTTCTGGGGCTCCACAGCTGCCAGGCTTTTCTCCAAAGCCACCTTGATGAGCTGAAAGAAAATCATGGTTTAAAGAAGTTAGGTCATTAAAGAGGATCTAAGAGGAACGTTGGATCACAAAGGCAGCCTTTCTTGGCAACAAAAAGACAGACCTAAAGTGAGCTCCCCCGAAGGGCCTTCTCAGCCATACAGGCCCCAGAGGCTGGTTTGGGAGGGGAGGACAGCAAGCGAGCAGGGAGAACTGTAGCCATGAGCAGGTGAGTGAGACAAAACCACAGGTGCATAGTAAATGAGAAACAAATTCAAACAAATAAGGGTTAAACAGGGCTGAGAGCATGGATGGTCTGATTCTTCAGTTTCTGAGGGGACAGTTCCCAGTGGGTCTTCACAAATCGGAAGCTTCATCAGCTCCACAACACTTGAGTCCCTAACTGCAAAGATCATGGTTTGAAACACCAACACTCAAAGCCAAAGGCTGTCCTGTAACTCAGACCCCAGAAAGGATGACTAAGAGGGCAGTCAGGAGTCAGTCCCGGAATCAGCATGTGGGTGGAGCTACAGGTTAGAGGAGCAAGCTCAAGGTCACTGACTCACACCTTACAGCTGCTAAGAGTGAGGCCGCCTGCCCAGCAGGCAAATCCACTTCACAGGTATTAGCCCCTGTGCTGACTGTGGCCAACCCAACTCTCCCTACAAATCTAAGCGTGTGAGAAGAAACAAGGCACAAACAATTTCTCAACGCCCTTTTCTTTCTATTTGAGGATACTCTTGAAGTTTCTCCTCAATGTTTCAGCTAAAGCAGCTTGTGTATTTTTTCCTCAAATGTGAATTTTTTAACATTAAGACTTTCTTATTGTTCATCTTGGACTGCTCTCCAGTTTTTTCCACACCTTTAAAAGTATATAAACCAAAAACTGAGTATGATAATCTACTCAGCATATGACTAAGTATTTTTGTACAAGGATTGCTTGCCTGTCTGTCCAGTATTAATCTGAATACATCCAAATGTCATGCTGGCTTCTTTTTGCTCTCAGTCAGCCCTTTGAGATTTTACTTAACTTCAGGCCAATTTTGATGTCTCAGTTTCCCACCTCTCTCCCACAGCTCTTTCTGGGTTGTGCTGCTTTCTTTTATCTCTGTACATAACTTGACTTGCACTTGTCACTTGTAAATTCTTTCTGGCTGTGCAGAATTGTTTCCCAATTATCAAAATCACCAAAATATTTGATGTGCTTCTCCATAAATCATGGAAAGGTCCCTTGATTAGAGATGATTTGTAGAATAAAGTATATGCCTTATACCTTCATTCAGGTCACAAATATATTGAACATAACACTGCCCAGAGCAGCTTAAATGGATCAATGACTGATAGAGCTGCTTGGCCTGGCACAAAGCCACTGGCCTTTGCTTTTGACCTTGTAACAGAGCAGGGTAAAATCTAGGTTGTGAGTATGCGGTGGGGTTAACTCACAGCATGTATGTGCAGTGGCATTTAGTAGCACAGCAGTTGAGGTTTCCAAGAAGAAAGGGGCAGGGACACAGTTGCTCATGTCCTAGGCGTTCCTGGGGTTGTGTGCCTGACATGCGGGAGGCTCCTGGGAACAACTGTCTCAGTGGCTCTGCTGCCAGCCTTCATTACACTGGTGGCTGCCATCTCCACATGTGCCTCCAAACATTTGGGACAAAATGAAGGAAGAGGGACTGGATTAAACCACTTTTGAAAGTTTATGACCTCACCACTCATTAAGCTGTGACATTATCTTTCTATATACACTCTTTCCAACTAATTAAAACATTGTCATCAGATTTGAATATGGACACATTTATACTTTCCTAAACCTTTAGAGTGCACTCCTTAAAAATAACGTCTAACTTTAATGATACCTATTTTTAAAAGGACTTCTAGTTGTGTTATCTTCTATCAATTTAAATATACCTAGTTTGTTTAAAAAGAAAAATTAAGACTCATGTTAATACAAGAAGAGATTTTAAGGTCCATTTGGTCTAATTTCCCACCTTAAAATGAGAAAACAAAGATCTGTTTTTCTCCCGTTTTTTGGTTTTTTTCCATGTTAGAGAGGCTTACTTTGGATAACTTGTCTGTAAAATCCAAATGTAAATGCATTAAAAGTGTCTCAGGATCTAGCCTTTTTATTACTTTTTCTTTATCATCTATGGGAAATTAGTATTTCTATTCTTCCCCAAATATAAACCCAGAGCTTCCAGTATGTGTGGTGGTAATAAGAATACTTCCGGTTTATTGTTAATAATATCTCTTGTAGGCTTTTTTGCCCCTCACATTTCCTAATTTATCTGTTCTAGTGCTCCCATGGTAAAATTCAGCTTTTTTGTGTGCTGGGTTTCCATTTACCCCATAGAGGTCTATGTGCAGAGTGGATCTCTTGTTTGAATAGTTGATTTATTTTTACCCTATGGCACCATACCTCTCACAATGTTAGTCAGTTCCTATACAGAATTAATGGCATTAAAAATGGCCTTTTCTCAAGTTCATCACATAAGTCTACTTTTTTCTCCTTTGCATTTGAATCTTGATTCTTAATTAACTTTAGCCATTGCAAAAAGCTCAAATGAAGGCAACCATGATTTATTTGTCTTTTTCATGAATTTGTTACAGATCCTACATTTATCTGAGAGTGGAGCTGTGTGGGGGACACCTGAGGAGAACCACCATGACGGCCGGACCTGAGGTTTCTGGAGAGGAGTGAGGCCAAATCGAGGACAAAGCCACCTGCTTTGACCCAAAGGTGGTTCTTGTCTTGGGGAGAACCAGAAGTTGGATGTGTTTGTTAGGAGAAGTATTTGAGTGCTTGGGGTAGAAAGGTAGACTGGTGTTGAGAATAAAGTCTACCTTCCAAGCACATAACGAGGAGGAACTCAGAGACTAACGTCAAGGGACTATTTCCCTGGAAACCGGCAAACACATTTTTGAGAATCTGGACACAAAATAGTCACAACAAAACAAGCTTTATTTAATTGGTAGCAAGAGATTAACACCCTCAAACTCTAGAAAAGCTGAAGTAACTTTATAGTGCTTTCACACACCAAGGTTACTCCTACCAAAGATTGACTTTCAAGGAAAGGTGATGGAAAGGAAAATGATCACTCAAGATACAGTCTTCATCCAGCAGGTATATACTTTGTGTATCATGAGTCAAGCCCCGATCCAAAGATTCATTAACTAATAATTTATTAAGTATCTCCTATGCCAAGCATTAGGGCAGACACTGCAAGGGAAGTAAAAATGTTTCAATGTAAAAGTTTATTCCAGGGTTGAACTAACTTTCTCAAAATGTGGTCTGGTCATTTTCTCCACACTAGGCTATAGGAAAGAAAGTTGAGGAAGAAATGACTTTACAGACCAGTTTTCCTACTGAGAATTTGAGCAAAGGACTTGCACTTCCAGGGATGGTTTAGACTGTGTCAATCAGAATCTGGCTCTCTTCATATCTGTGTGTCCTGTTCATTTATTCTGAAGATAATCCTGTCCCACAGTAGCACTAACCAGCAGTGACTGACCAACATCCCTGTATAGCTGAGAGTGAACCCCCTTTCTGTCACCCATGATCCTCAAAGAAATCAGGAAGTGAGAGGCGGAGGGACCTGTCTAGAGGGGTGATAGCATACATACATCATTAGTTACAAGCATCAGTTAGGAGGACTCAGAAGGTGTTCAAGCAAAAAGAGAAGTGAAGCTCATGCAGGAACTCAAGGGAGAAGTAAGGGTCAGGTGTGGCTAGAGCAACAAAAAGGGGATCTTGATAGAAGGTAAAGACACTGTGTTGAGAATGTGCGGTATTCCAAACAACCACTCATGTCCTCAAGAGCCAAAGACTGCTGAATCCCATGTGACTTCAGCAGTCTCTTTTGGGTGTATTAGATGTCTCCTCCTTTTCTGAAGCAGGAATATAGAGATAGACCCAGAAAGCCTCATTTCCCCTACAGTTTTCCTATTAGCTCCAAGGAAGCCAGCACTAGAAAGCCTAGCTGCTTTTGGAGAAAGACAGATCCCAATGATCCACTTTCTCCTCAACAAACCAGAGAGTCACAGGCCTGGTCCACCTAGATGTGACTGCTAAGTGTCACTGGGCAAGGTGGAGACAGACAGGAGTTCCAATGAGTGCTATGGAATCACTCTCATTGACTTAATCTCTGAGGTCCATGACATTCAACTCTGGAGCTTGAAAACATGCTGGTTATACCTTTACTGATGGTTGGTGGGAGGAGTGTTTCAGCCTTAGGTACCAAGGTCTCAGATTTGACAGGGACTTGCTCTTGATGTGTCATCTGTTGGTTACTGACATGTCACACCTGAGTGATGTGTCGATTGCCAACAAAGTTCTCTTTTGTATAATGAGATTTTTCCAAGACAGATCCCTGCTTTGAAAGCATTCCCATCTTCTTGGATTTTCTCAGAGCATCCTCCTGAAGCAGGTTCTAGGCCTGCCACCTCCCCAAGCAGCCCTTCGATGACTCCCTGTCTTCTGTGATGTGTTTCAGTTAGAAAAGCCCAAGAGGGGAAGTGTCCATGGTCTTGTTGTAAGTAAAAATTCTTCTGAAGCTACAGCTATAGACGGTACACAGGAACAAAGGTGGGTAGGAGGGGTAGCAGGGCAGGTATAAGAGACAGAAGAAGTAAAAACAAAGGGTGGATTGGAGAGAGAATGGAGCAAGGACAAGGGTTGGCAAGGTGGCTGGGAAGCTCAGGGAGGGCAGGAAGAAGGCTGGGAAGTGGCTTATATAAAAACACAGGTTCTCCCTCCTAAGTCCACAGGCTGATCTCCCCTTGTCCACCAGACCCCACAGGACCGTGAGCCTTCCGCCCTGGGACCTCCGAACCTGACTTGGACTCACTTGCTGGTGGCTACTGTGTGCGGCCTCCTCCTCGATGCTGTCCGTGAACTCAGTGCTTGCATCTTCCGTGTCATCTCCTGCAGCCGCACCTGGGAGTAAGTCCAGAAAAGAAGGTGACTCCCTCCACAGACGGCTTCCAGACAGCAGCCAAAATTACACTTGTTGTGCCTTCCGCCTCTCATTTCTTTCTTTCCTCCTGTGTGTGGCCCCCTGGCCAGCAGGGTTGACAGGGAAGGCAGAACCAATGTGCCAAATCTATAGAAAAGCCTTCATACTGTATTGCTGATACTTCCTTATTAACACTCAAGCTTAGGCCTCAAAACATATGTTGGCTTTGACTGCAAAGACCTGCATCTAAGGAGACAGCTGTCAGATACAGTGGTTACCTCTCCCACCGAATTTCAGGAAGTCTGAATTATTCCCATCCCTGCCACTTGCTATATCATAATTTCCTCTTCTGTAATGTGGACCTAACACGACTAAGCTTTTCCCCATCACTGAGAGCTGACAGTGCCCCTGATTTCCTAGGGACTAGGGCAGCCCTGCTCCTCTCACATTTACCCATTGCTGGGATCAGTTGTGCATGGGGTGACCATCTCTGAGAATACCCGGCTAGGGGCCCTGTATCCTACAGAAGCTCAGGTCTAGTCAAGCACAAGGACTGAATGGTTCAGGATTTTCTAATTCCTTCCTCTAACCTCCCCTCCTCCCTGTCTCTCTCAAACTCTTGTTCCATGCTAACATCCTTTTCCTGAAGGGTTTCTTGCACTGCTTTAGCCAAATGAGATGTAATCCATTTATTCCTTAAAGATGGATACAGTCACGCTAGGGCATATCACCTATGCCCTGCACTATGGGACAGGTAGCTGATGTTCACGCTCTGAACAAAGATCTAGGGCAGTGCTGACCAGCAGAACTTTCTGAAATTCTATGCTCATGCTGCCCAATACAGCATACACTAGTTACATGAAGCCACTAAAGCACTTGATATGTGGCTAGCATGACTGAGAAACTTAATTTTTAATTTAATTTAAATTTAAATCCAAGTAGCCACAGATGGCTAGTGGCTACCTAATGGGCAGCACAAACCTAGGGCATTTCTTCCTCTCCACATCTATTAGAACAAAAGACCACCCATCCAATTTTATATTAGGACCTGTGGTCCACATTACTGATTTATTCTGAAAGTGTAGGAATTTATAGTGGTTAATTCATTTGCATACCAAAGAGATCTACTTCGACACTCCCTGGGGTCCTACAGAACCTTCCCAAGTTAGAGAACCTGGAGATCTAGCTCTGACCCTGTCCTCAGAAAGCACCCAGTTACTCCTCCCTTTCTGACCACTGAGTAACCTGGCCTCAGGGAGTCCTGACAGGAGCTGTGCCAAGAAGTCAGTATCTGGACTTTCAGACACAGACACTCACTGTTCCTTCTGGTGACAAATCAGACCTGTTTGTTCCTCCAAAACCAAAGAACCTCCTCCTGAGCTCAGACATCCGTGAGTGAAAGGCTCTCTGTGAATGAGCCTTCACTGCCCTCTGCAGGTAAGGTCAACAGGGGCAGTTCACACCTACATTCCATCTCTTGGCATCTGCAAATACATGCCAGAGTATTTGCAGTGACCCAGGACAATCTCATGAAAGTACTAAAAGGTCGCAAAACATGTTGCCCTAACGGCTTTAATCTTATGATTCATTCCATGTTGTGTTAATTTTGGCCAAGTTCCTGTACGCTGTTCAATAAAGCTCTACCCACAAAAAAGAACCTCTACCACTCAGCATCTCTAGGCATCCATGGCAAACGGTGTACCGATAGGGATTTCCAGTACTTACTTTCAAACCAGCCCCAGAACCATCTCATTCACAATAGTGGTAGTGTGGAGGTGAATGAACACACTCCCCAAGCTTTGTCTACTTTGTCAACTCACTGGACTTACGGTGTCCATTCCCTTGAGGACAACCATAGTATATTACGCCTTCTTTGGAAAACCTTTCCCTGTACAACAGTAGAGATCACAATCTTTTTTTCTTCCTGCAAAGAAAATGAATTGTCCCACCCAGTGACAGATTAAGAAAACATACTTTTTACATTGTTTTCCTTCTGAGCTTTGGGCCAGAGAATGATCCTGTGGGTGAAGAAAACTCATCTCTCTGAGGTCTGGATACTTATCCCCATACCATTCTTGGTGGGTTGTGTGGCCCTGCTGGGCCTACACTGCAAGATGATTCCTGTGCTAGGTTCCATGAATAAGGTAAGGCTAAGTGGGGATTAGAAAGGGTGCCTGCCACTGGTCTTGAAGGCTTATATCTGACATATTCTGCCCTCCACTTACCTTTGTCAGCCTTTCTGATGCCACATCAGTATTTTTAGATAACACTCTCTTAAATTGACTCAGGGGCAGGATACCATGGTTCTGACCTGATCAGGAGTTAAATGAGGACAAAGCAAGAATGCCCATTTCATCTCAACACTCTGCTACAAAGGGGCTTGTTTGCTTTCCTAATGTTTTTAGCTAGCTTACAGTATGCTGAACTTCTTTAAGGCAGCTTCAAGGCGTGCTCAGCCTCCCACCAATGGGTTTTCTCTTTTTTTTAATCTGAAGTAATTTTTTATTGGAATAAATTTGATATACAATATTATATTGGTTTCAGATATACAACATAGTGATTCAATAATTATACACATTACTAGAGGCTATCCACCATTAAATGTAGTTCTAGAATGTAGAAGGGCTTTTTTGTGTGTATTTGAGAGGTGGAATAAAGTTGAAAAAAATTTTATAGAAAATACTGGTATGAGTAAGTTATCCCACACATACTTCTGGATCTAAGTTTACATTAGACATCCCTCCTTTTACTGTTTGTTTTTTAATGACAACAAAATAACTCCTCTTCTGTGGTAGGAATACCACTTCTAAAGTTTTTACAAATAACAGAACACTATCTTCAGGGTGAACCTGGAATATTTACATTCCTAATACTTCACAGCATTACATACATACTGATGAACCCACTGCTTATTTTTGATAAATGTTAAATAAATGACTGCTACCTTTAGATTCCGTGAAACCTAAAAATCTGTTCATTGTTCATTCCAATTTAACTTGACTCTCCAGGTTTTATCTCCATGGTTAAGTTTTATGTTTTGGACTGGAAATTTTATTGAAAACTTTTATTTGAGGCTTCAGTGGCCTTTCTCAAGTTACGGTTCTTGCAAATTTCTACACTCTGAAACATAATTATAGAGGTGGTATCAAAACCTCCTATTTAAGATTTAGAAAATTATTTTCTACCGGCTGACTATATAATGAAGTACACAGAAATAGCCCTCTAAAATACTATGAAATCCTGGGCAAAAAAGTGTTATGCAAATGTATTCTTTTAATCACTGAAACAAAATCCCACCCTTTGTAAAGCTTTTCAAACTGTAGATGGTGTACTTTTTAAGAACCTGGACTCTGGCACCAGACTGTCCAGTTAGCTTCCATCATTAGCTATGGGACTTGAGGCAAGTTACACTTTTCTACAACTGTTTCCTCATTTACTAATTAGGGTCAATAGTGACATCCATCCATTCCACATAGTTGTAGTGAATCCTAAAGGACTTGCTGTTTTCAAGTGCTTAGAAAAGTGCTGGGTATACAGCGGGTACTCAAAAAATACTGGCCTTAAATAATACTATAGTTCTATTATTATTGTTGGTTGACTGAAGCAGTCCACAAGTTGAAAAACTGTGGGTTGAAAAAGGTGGCCCATAAAACCTAAATATGATCAGAAGAGGTAAATTTTATGTCCTTGAGTCTATCTGCACTATCTTCACTTCTGAGTATGTTTCCCCCAAGAAGAGATTTGAAATAATACTTTTTCTTCTCCTTGCTTCATAGGACAGTTGAAAGAACATAGAGCTGTCAGTAAAGTAGGATGAACTCTTTTGAATAGGTGCTTTACAAACAGGATTCATCTTCCTTTAAGTATAACTACCTTAAAACTCCATTCATGTGTGAACAAGCCTTAGAGGTAAAGACATCAAGTGTTATTTTTGTTATTTTAACTCTTCAGTAATGAGCCCTAATTGGCCTGCAACAAGACCATTTTCCCCAAATTTTACTCTAGTCATTAGTTTCCTCTTCAAGCCATTTATATACAAGTAACAGAAAAGACATGATATTTTCCCATACAGTGCTCAGAACATTTCAGTAGCCATATTTGACTAATTTTGAGGGGTATTCAAAGAACTAAAACTTAATAGCATGGCAGAGTCGGCGGCACCACGTGCCCTTATGTTCTTTCCTTGGCTCCTGTGCCAGCTACTCTAGGCTCATCTCACCTTCACTCCCAAGACACTGCCATGTACTCATCACGAGAACTCGCACCTGTTCCCATCATGAACCAACATTTGATGACTTAAATATCACGATGCTACATGAGGGAATCACAGGAAGAAGGCCTCCTGTCCAACTCTGCAATTTCATCTACATCCATTCTCTTTTGAGCCATAAGAAAAATTCAAGATTTCACATAGTCCTACGTAAGCTTCTATCGAGAAATAAAATTCTTTGGACAGATTCTGACCTTTGTTGGAACAGAAGTAGCTAGGAAAGAAAAACGCTATCTGCAGTCAAGCCCTTTTATGGTGTTATCTGTATTTAAGCTGCAACGTCTCTTAAGTAGCCTTCCAGCTTGTATTTTATTCAAAAACAACTGTTTCCAATGACCTAACATTCTATAAAGTTAAGGAATTCTTCCTGCTCAGGATCTTTTTTTTTCCTCAAAGAGCACAAGATACAGGCCTTCTGGAAACATTCACAGAGATGGCACTGCCCACCATAACAACTGGCTCCTCAAATCTCCATCCTGCTTTCTCCAATCCTTCCTCAGCAAGGAGAGCAAAAAAGGGCTTTTAAGGTAAAGTAGTCTGTTTCACATTTCTGGGAGAAGCATAACACTTTTTTAGTCTCATTTCCTTGGAAGGAAAATTGGAGTTTGTTCCCTCCCTTCCTTTTGTTAAATAAAAGCATTCACTCATTCCACAGCCTTGCTTTGACTTGGAATTTTAGTATAATGATCAATAGACTGATTCTCCCATAAG